GTTAGATTTTCCCCGCTTCTTTGGTTATCCATCGCTTTAGTGAGGGCATCTCTCCATTTCCCCAACTCTTTGTTGAGAATTTTCCACCAACTAGACAATGTCGATTCTGTACGGGTGGAACCCGATCTTTCAACAAATTCGCGATGAATTTTTTTCCACATTTGACTGAATTTCATCTCATTACCCGATATGGGATCATGACTAATTTGGATACAACACTCACACAAAAAGACATCTTCCATGATGCTCCATGCCCCTCCGGTTTCTTGAGAAAAAGCCATAATATGATAGAGAAAAATTAAACTTGAAAGTGAAAAAAATATGGAGTAGAAAATGAAAAAAAATATGGAGTAGAAAGTGAATAATAGTTGGAGGAGGAGAAAATGTATGAGGATTTGTGGTTAAAAATGAAGAGGATTGATTGGTATTTATAGAAAAAAATTCAGTAATTTTTGGGAATTTTTTTTAATTTTTTCCGAATTTTTTTCATAATTATTGGCCTTCAAAAATTCATGGGCGTTGGATTGGATGACAAAAGCAATCGGAAGGACCAGAAGCTGCCACGTGGTGTATGACCGTTGGGGAAAAGCTAACGCGTGCGCAGCAAATTTTTTTTAATGTGCCAACGTTAAAAAAATTTGAATTGCGCCTGCTGACGTCACGCTGGCGTCAGCAATGACGTCAGCAGCGCCTTCGGGCTAGCACTCAGGCTGTTTCTTCCTTCGGGCCAGCCCAGGCTGGTGGACCCCACCTCTTGCCCGGGCTAGCTTTTGTTGCTGGAAATGGGTTTTGGCCTTTTACCCCCCCCCCCCCCAGCCAGAGCCCTAGGGGGCTGCTGGAAATGGCCTGAGGGCTAAGTCTAGGGCAAGTCGAAGGCAAATACTATTCATTGTACTTTATTTCCTTTTTTTTAAAACTTAAATCATTAATTTTGATAAGCTTTTTAGATAATATTTTCCGTTGTCACGTGTCACTATTTATTATAAAATTCTCACTTAAAATTTAAGATAACATTTTTAGGATAAAATTTTCAAATAAAATTTTCGGATAAAATTTTCAGTTGCCATGTGTCCATATTTATTATAAAATTCACATCTCACTCATCATACAATTGAAATATTCTCGGTCCTCATAGTCTGACACAATGGAATACAAGAACGACTCAATCATTGGCGGAGGCGGTTCCACCGGATCACGACGTGGGGGAGTATTTTCCTTCGGAGGACGTAATAGTGCCACTATTTCAGACACGGAACACACCACTGGAACCGACTGCGGGCATTGTTCACTTGAGGAGCCATGTGTAATGGTTTTCCTCTTTTTTGTTTTGCCTTGACTAATCTATTATTTGTTGGAGTCTGTCAGGGCTGACGTCAATGCGCGGAAGTCAAATTTTTTTACCGTTGGCGGGTGTAATTCACGCTCCAACGGTAAAAAAAATTTGAATTGCCGAGCGATGACGTCAGCGCTGACATCACCAAACTCAGGCTGAAGCCCAGTCGAAACCTGCCCTTGGGCTTGCCCGCGCTGGAGGGCCCTTGGGCTGCATCGGGGGGCCTTTTGCCCTGATTGCTAGCAGCGCTGGAGTTGCTCTAATAAGCCTCATGCTGTTTGTCTTCCTTTTCCAGCTCAAAGCCGTATAAAGGCAATGCTCAAACTAGCAAAACTCCTCCACCATAGAGGCTTTCGCATAACCTTTGTCAACACAGAGTTCAACCACAGGTGATTTCTTAAATCTCTTGGACCTAATTCCCTTGACGCCTGGCCTGATTTTCGATTCGAAACCATTCCGGTGCCTTGAAAATCAAGGGTCGTATGATATATTGATGAATGGATTTTCCTTACAAACTAACACTACTCCTAAAAGCAAGTAAAGATATTGAAAGTGCATTACAGGAAAATATAATTTGCTCCGTGGGAGGCTTTTGTTTGGTGTTTGAACCTTGTGAATGTAGCTTGAGCCTCGTATTTATAGGAAGAGTTCTTGGAGGAGTAATCGTGGCTAAAAATCTGCATGGTGGAGCCTGACTAGAGCAAGTGGGTTGTCCAATCGACATTTGGGATCGTGAAGTACGGTGGTGTGACCCCATAAATCCCGGTGAATCTCGGCCGCCACCCTGATCGTGGGTTCTGCGCTTCTGGCCGTGGAGACGCATTTATTGTTTCTGATAGTTGGTGACCCAATCTCCCAAACTGCAAGAATTCTTGTGAGAATGTCTGCGTCTAATCACTCTGATTCCTGTCACCAAATTCTGACTTCAATCACTTCCCACCTTCCCTCGTGCATTAAATGCTTATTCGTGGTCAGTGGGTTTTCTATCATAAACAGAGGCGTTGCTTCATTAAATGAAGCGTGGGACCCTGCTGCCACTTGATGATCTGACCTTAGTGCCTCTGGGCGTGATTTTGTTCGGCTTCGGCCTCAGCCTATAATCAAGGCCGAGATGATCATGCCTTCACAACTTTTCCTTTGCTTTTTTAAGAAGGCCAGACATCTTGGCGAAACGCCGCGTTTTAGCCTCACGAGCAAGTGTTAGGGCCGAGAAAAGGGGCTCCTTCGGTCAGTTCTTGGCCGTGATTTATTAGGCACAAACACCTTTTCAATTTCTCTTAGATTCTTCTGCATTCTTTTCTGAATTTCTGGTTCTTTCAAGTTACTTTTGCTTCCTAAAGCTTGGCTTATCTGATGATGTTATGATGGTTAACCATCACCACCGTATATATGGAAGAAAAAAAAAACATAATCACTGTTATAATAGATATCCCCAAAAAAAAACAAACAAAAATAGCCCAGTCTTTTAAAAATTCATGGGTCTACCATTGTGCGAAAACATATACGACTCATTAAAATATATTTGGAATTGACTTTTTGGTCTGAAACTATCGACTTGATGTTGGTTTAAAGGGGGTAACGAAGCCTTGGAATGCATGCCAAGGTCTGACAATGAAAATTTCTTTTTTCTTTTTCGGAAATGCCCTTCGCGTGGCCCATTTGGATTGGGCTGTCAGGATATGTGGAAGGTCTCGCAGTTGCCACATCAACATTTAACATCTGATTAGGCGGTCAATCTAACGACCGATGTGAATTGGTGAGATTTTGAAATGTTTGGTATGTAATTGATGAAATTGAAACCTCGGGGCTCATTTCGATGCAGACCCTAAAGCTCGATGGAGTGAAATGTTGTTAGTCCTTTCCTTTTTGTCCTGTTCCATTTTGTCTGTTGCAACTCGCTGTTTTCCTTTAAATTGTTTAATTTTTTATATTTATTTATAATGAAAACCTTTCAATTGTTTATTGGAGATTAAAGATACAAATATAAGCCTGAGGTTCTAATTTTTTCTCTAAACCTTTTTCTCAGTAATTCTTTTTCTGCTACAATCTTACTTTTGCTCAATTCATATTGTTACGATGGCATTAGAGCCCATCTCGATACTTCTATAATTTCTCATATCTTTTTCTACTTTCTAAAGCTCCATTGTTTAATTTAGGCACGAAGCACTTACTAAATTTCAGAACTTTTCAAGCTAGGCGTGTCTGATGAATCTAGCTCACCCCTTCAAAAAATTTTGAGTCCATTGTACTAAAACATACATGACTCGTTAAAATATATTATAATTCACTAGATTCAAATTCAAAAGTATGTATATCTATCTACCAGTCATGCAATCCAAGGCTTAATAATTACAAGGAGAACTAGTTTTTACTTTATCTTTTTATTAATTTATTTATGAAAATGAAATGTATACCAAAATATAGGTGCTGCCTGCAGTCTTGTCACGCATTCATGGCTGTAAGATACGTACTTTCTATCTTTGTTTGCTTGGCTGGAGACATGTAATTAAAATACAACGACAAGACAAACAATCTTAATTAAAGTTTGCACGAAAAGAAGTTAAAAAACGAAATATTTTGGCAAATTGAGTGAGTGGTACGGAGGACGAACTCCCCCACAAAATTGAATGCTATGACAATAACAAATAATATCGGGAATCACCAATTAATACGTTTGTTTCTTCGGGTAGGTATACCTAAATCTCATAAATAAGTACAGTTCACAAGGTGACTGATTATGATCCAATCAATATCTTAATTATTGTGGTTTGTTGATAATTGTATGTTAACTGTATCTGTTTAGAGATAATAACGCTGTAGTTACGAATTTTGGGTTTGTAATATATGAAGACATGACTATTGTCCTTTCTTACGAATTTAACAGCTTCGTGACAAATTTTAGTTGAATGTCAATTGTCTTTGAAGTGCATGGGGCCCATAACACGTCGAATCAACTTTAGCCTTATATTTTAATATATTTATGTTTGTGTATTAAATTTCTATTTGATGTATTTCTTTTTTTATTTTATTTGGTGTATCTCTTCCTTTTCATTTGTTAGTAATTGACTAATTGAATAATATATGTACATACAACCACTGCCATTCAATACACAAAGAAACAATTCAATAATCATATCATTTGATTGCAATTCCATTACAATTTTCAACCAAAAAAATTCATTACAATTCTCTAATTTATTAATTACAATTTACTTTTGGTATCTTGAGTGTTGTTTGTCCTCATCATCTTCATCATCTTCATCATCTGAAAAAGAAAAACCAAAGCATAATCCAAGTCAAACACAAGTATAATCTATAACTTGATTAACATACCAAAAACATAATGACAACCCTAGATTCAAACCTAAAAATCAGAACAGGAAGTACCAAAAACATAATGACAACCCTAGATTCTATTGTGAGTCTCAATACTATTGCCCCTTTTTTTTTTTTTTTTTTTTTTTTTT